CACGTTTGAAAAAAGAACAGAGACTATTTTCTCATCCTGAAAATCTTTGCATGAACTGACTGGACTACAAATATGCTCTTGCTTTCCTACTCATTATTCTAAACCTTCATTGATAATCCACTCTACTTTATATGGGCCCATGAATTTGTAATACATTTTTAAATAAAATTGTTTCTATAGATGAGAGCCCTGCAAAAAATATTTGCCCTGTGGGCAGCCCTAATCAAAGAAGAACAGAATCTAGAAGAAACCAGAAACCATGAGGGTAGTATCTTAGAAATGGAAGAAGTGCAAATAGAGCAAATAAAATAATAATAAATCCATTGGATTTGAGGGTAGAAAACCACTGACACTATAGCCACCAGAGGTGGGGGAGAGAGAACAGATTGCAGTAGGTTGAATAGTGAACAGTGTGAAAATTGACAATGACTATATTTTAAAGGAGCCTGGCTACAAACAAGGGGTATTATATGGAGTATAAAAAAGAATAATAGGGGTGCAATTGACTACAAATTCTTGAAAAATTAAAAGTTCTGGAGTCTGTAGTGATAGAGGGAAAAGGAAACTCATCCACCACCTCTGGTAAGTGACTATAATACTCTCTTTTCTTTTTATTTTTTTTTTGAGACAGTCTCATTTGGTCACCCCGGGTACAGTGCCGTGGTGTCATCCTAGCTCAAACCAACCTCAAACTCCTGGGCTCAAGCAATCCTCCTGCCTCAGCCTCCTGAGTAGCTGGGACTACAGGCACACACCATGATACCTGGCTAATTTTTCTAGTTTTAGTAGAGATGGGGTTTCACTCTTGCTCAGGCTGGTCTCGAACTCCTGAGCTCAAGCATGACTCTTTACTCTTAAAAAGGAAACACAAGTATGTCGTGGCCCGTTTCTAGGGGCCGAGGAATGAACACAGAGACAAAGGGACACAGACACACACAAAGACGGTACAGGACTGCAGCAGAGTTTCTTGCTGTAGTTTATTTATTTATAACACACCTGTTTGGCAACTGTCCCACCGCAATTTCTTTGTTCCCACATTGTCCCAACTCAACACATCCCTGTTCCTTGTTGTTTCGTCTCCAGCGAGCAGATGTTTGCATCTGAACTCTCTAGCCCCTCCTGTTTGCAGGGTTAGGGCGCTCTGGACTTGCGTGCAAGGCCACAGACATGTTCTTGAGAAAAAAAACAAGGAACCATTCCCAAAGTGTCCTCTACATATCCCCCTTTTTTATTTTGTTTTAAGGCACAGGATGCTGTGTTCAGACATGTTGCAGTACCGCCATTATTTTATGATGTTGTTGTTCTTTATTCATTCTTCTTTGGGACCATCGCCTGTAGACTATGAAAAAACAGACAACAACCAATAATACAATACACAGATTGCTAGTAATTGATGTAAGCCATGTCTTAAGGTGTTCAAAAGGATTTAATTGGGCGAGACTATTAGCCAGGCCTTGAAAGATCTCCGCCTCATTCATCTCAGGGAGATTGTTATGGAACACATCAGTTATTTCTCGTTCCAAATTTTGGAGATCAGAGGTCATATTGACAGTGCCAGATAAGAGATTACAAAGTGAGTTCCAATGTCTGCTCGCATTAAAAGGAATAGGGGTAACACAAAATTGGGAGGAGTTCCAATCGCAGCGGAGAAATGACTGCGTTGTCAGAATATTTTAAGTCTGGCTGTTTCATAGAACAGATACTATAACAATGATTAGAAAAAATTTCATTGAATCCATCTGCAATTCTGCTTATTCCAGAGGAGTCTGAACGAGAAGGGTGCAAAATCTTCCTTTTTCTCCCTTTTCTTTTTTTTTTTTTTGAATACTCATTCATATCTTTTTAATTTGGTATTATTCTTACCACTGGAGTGAGGCAAAATGAATTGAATTACAGGTAAGTTTCCATAGATGTTTTAAAAAAATGTCCATCCCTCGGGGCCCGCCCGGCTGGCCCCAGCGTAGCTCCGAGAAGGTGGCAGCCAAGGCACCGGAGTGCCAGCAGAGCGGCCGCATGGTCTGGCCAGCGGACACACAGCAGCGGGCGGCAAAGAGACAGGATAAGCCACAGGCGCTGTCGGGGCTGTGGGGCTAGTGATAAGAGAGGGTAAACACTTCTTTAATAAGGCAATAAGTTCTGCTATTTCAGTATTGGGAGATAAAGAGTCAGCCTTTTCCTAACTATCCAGTGGAGGAGTCACCTCTGGGATCTCCTCAGGGGGAGGGGGATCTAGTTCCTCCCCATTCTGTGACTCAGCTTTCTCCGAGTCTAAGAGCTGTAGTGCTTCAGTTATGGCACTACAAACAGTCCAAATTTTTAAATTAACCGTGTCGCCTCGTTGGTGGGCTACACGAAAAGCTTTAACAAGTTGTTGCCAGCTGCGCAAATTTAACTGAACTTGGGACTGAAACCAATAGCAATGCTGTTGCACTAAGTCAAACAACTGCTTCAAAGTAGTATCTTTAACTTCCACTCCCACTGAATGTAAAAGTCCCTGGACTAACTTTCGATATTCTCGTTCCACAGCTGAAGGGGAATTCCCCATAATGCTGGAGGTCCTCTGTTGGTTGCCACTTACCTTATGCCAAAGAGGTCCCACTCCAGTTCCTCGGTCCCGAATGACGCAGACCCTGCTCGCTGTGCCACTTGACGTGGCCCGTTTCTAGGGGCCGAGGAATGAACACAGAGACAAAGAGACACAGACACACACAAAGACGGTACAAGACAGGACTGCAGCAGAGTTTCTTGCTGTATTTTTTTTTTTTTTTTTGGGACAGAGTCTCACTGTGTTGCCCAGGCTAGAGTGCTGTGGCATCATCTTAGCTCACAACCTCAAACTCCTGGGCTCAAACGATCCTCCTGCCTCAGCCTCCCGAGTAGCTGGGACTACAGGTATGCGCCACCATGCCTGGCTAATGTTTTCTATATATTTTTAGTTGTCCAATTAATTTCTAATTTTAGTAGAGACGGGGTCTCGCTCTTGCTCAGGCTGGTTTCGAACTCCTGAGCTCAAACAATCTGCCTGCCTCGGCCTCCCAGAGAGCTAGGATTACAGGCGTGAGCCACCGCGCCCGGCCCTGTAGTTTCTTTATTTATAACACAGCCTGTTTGGCAACTGTCCCACCGCAATTTCTTTGTTCCCACACTGTCCCGACTCAACACGTCCCTGTTCCTTGTTGTTTTGTCTCCGGTGAGCAGATGTTTGCATCTGAACTCTCTAGTCCCTCCTGTTTGCAGGGTTAGGGCACCCCGGACTTGCGTGCAAGGACAAGGCATGTTCTTGAGAAAAACAACAAGGAACCGTTCCCAGACAAAGTGTCCTCTACACAAGTATCTTTACAGTGGAGATGTGGTGGGCAACATCTTAACTAGGCGATCTAACTTAGCACCACTAATAGTGGAACAACTTGATAGTGACTTCTAATGTGATATGATATGAAATACATAAGCCATGAAACATCCTTGCCATAAACCTGAATCTAATTAAGTCTTTTAGACTTAATTTACAGGAAATACTGGGGCATAGAGGGACAAGGTACCAATACTCTGAAGAAGCAAACATGCAAATGTAGAATGTGGGACATTCTATAAAACGATGGTTTGATTGTTTTCATTAAGTTAATATTATGTAAAATAAGAGGTGAGGTTCTGGAAAAAGAGACAACCAAACACTGTGAATAAATGTCGATAAAATCTTGGTTAAACAACATCAACAATTATAATTTGGGCACAAGGAAAAAAATTGGATTATGGGCTGAATATTAGATATTGGAAAATTACTGTTATTTTTCCTTGGTATGATGATATTTTGGCCATGTAGAAAGAAATCTTTCTTTTAATGAAACATGCTCATGTATTTAGGGGTGAAGTGTCCTATCTACAGCTTACTTTTAAACGGTTTAGCAAAAACAAAACTCTGTGTATCTATGCAGACACACAGAAAGCAAATACATACACACAAGGCAAAATGTTAAAAATGACTGAATCTAGATGGTATGTACAGATGTTCTATCACTGTACTATTCTTTCACCTCTGTTTGCAATTTTTCAAAATGAAAAATCAGTATGGGGGAGACAGCCAGTAGAACAAGGTAAAAATACAGGAAGGAATATTTGGTACAAGATCAACAGCCAAACAGAAAGGTTAGCACTAAGCTGTGCATTATTTCCTGAGACTAGAGGACAGAAGCTGCAGGTGAGTACAGATACAAACATGTGGGCAGGTGTGGGTGCAGGAAGTTGAGGGAATATCAGGTGATCTCAATATTCTCCAAGGAGGCACAGAGAGTAGCAGTAGATTGGTGGCATGAAGAAAGTGACAATTTAGAATGGCTGCTGTGGGGAGTGGCAAAGGAAGCTGACCAGGGATATGTATAAAAAAGATTTCACAGGGTGCAGCTGAGGTGCTGGTAAGACTTGAGTGTCTGGAAATTGGTGATTTTTGCTCCAGCTGTACTCCAAGTTTATTTCCTATAATAGAATCTCCTAACAGATTCTATCTGTTATTCTAACTTACCATGAATTTGAGGTAAGGGGATTGACTTTCATCTTTGAGTTTCCAGTACCAAGCACAGTGCTTAGCATGTAATAAACAGCCAATGAACACTTATTAAATAAAATAGTGGGTTTCACACATAACTTCTAAATAGTAAGTTTTTATTGACCGTTCCTTTTACCCCTAGCTTACTGATGGGTTAACCGCTTCTCTTCCATGCTCCCATAGCAACATAAATGTTTGTCATATCCATTACAAACCCGTACATTGCATTTTCTGCATTGTATTGAAATTATCTGTATATACATCTGTCTTATCCAGCAGACTGAAATATTTTGACATCAGTAATCTTGTAGCTTTGTATCACAAACCCAGGACAGTACTTGGCCTACAATATAGCAGGCATTTTCTGGTCTGAGCTGAACCATTAAGAAAGACTTTATGTTTTGGTTTGAAAAGGCTTTATTTCTGGTTGTGCATGTGATTTTAACAAATACATTTAAAAAGCAATATTAACAATATTACTAAAGTACAATCAAGAGTATAAGATAAAGTGCCAAAATATCTGAATCATAGTATTCTGGATAAAACCTGGAGAAAACCATGGACTTACAACATTTTCAAAGGCACAATAGCACCCAGTACAATCCCCCTTTCTATTTGCTTCTCTCCAAGTGTTCAAAAGTCCTAGTGTTTAAAGCATGCTTTCCACACCACCCGAGGCAAAGTTTCCAAACGGATTTACCTTTAAAAGTTCAGGAATTGGGTTTAGGCAACTTTTTATGAAAACAATTCTGGTGACCAAGCACTGTTAGTTTCAGATACTGAAGGTGGGCAATTTTCTGAAAATAGAAGGCAACGTTTGACTTCCAGACAAGAAGAAAGGCCAAGAACAGGGTGCAACTGAGGTGCTTCTAAGACTTGAGTGTCTGGACATTTGGAAATCCAGCTTGAACTTTTACTGTTATATTTAGGAGTTTTCTGTTTTGTAACAGTTTCTGTAAGCATATTGTTTAACTCCTTTTTGAAATATTTATCAGCTCTTTGTCTGACATGTTTCAGTTTCTTTCTTGGTAACTCTTTTTGATCAGGGGAAATATGGGCAGCAAGGTATTTCCTTACACCCATGACCTGGAATCCAAGCACATCTGAAAGAAATACTTTTTGTGTGGTAGGAGGGATCCATTCATCACTACTACTTTCAACGCACTCGGCAACAGAATTGTGGTTGAAAACCTCTGGTTGTGTAATACCAGATACAGTAGAGCTTCTGGATTTCTGCCTGGGTGTTTTTATAGTTTGGGGGCAGCTTGGGATGGCTTGCTGTTTGTCATTTTCAGGGGAAATTCTTGTTTTTTCATAGTTAACATCAAAATCTGAATATAAGGGAGATAATTTTTTGAAAGCTCCATTTATCCCAAGAATTCTTGTTTGGTGGAACCCTGTAATTGGAGTTGACTGTGAACATGGAATAAAGTCCTGGCTATCTTCAAAGTTATCTGAATCTGACTGAAAATGAGGTGGAGGAGAGCATATTCTTGGATGCCTAGGGACAGATATGCTTTGCAAGGATAATTTTTGTGAAGGCAGGATGGAGTTTTCAGAAATGGATCTCAGTGAAAAATCAGACTCTGAAGGATGACTTTCTGCCAAAGACATTTCCCACTGTGATAAAATATCCTGTGATTTTTTGGCAATTTCTGTTGCAATGTCCATTTCTTTAGCAACATCATCAAAGAGATCAGCAGAAGCATTGTAACTACCTTCATAACAGGAAGAATAACTTTGTGTTAACTTATTACTGATATGTCCATGAGACTTTTCTTTCAATGTATTTGTACTTCTATTTGGATTACTGCAAAGAGTTTCTAAAGGATATATAAGTTTCTTGCAAACTGTAAAACTGTCACCTTGGTTCTTTGGCCACCTATAATATTGTTTATTTTCTAATTTGCAAAGATCAAAAACATCATTATACTTCCTAGAACACAAAGTTGTCAACTTTTCATTCGTTTCTGAAAGTGAGTTTTCTTCCCACCCATTATAACATTTGATATTGAGATAAGGATGGTCACTCTCTGAAGTACTGGGTGTAAGTGGAATGTCATCCCTATGTGGTAGAATTATTACAGTCTTATGAGTAACTGTTGTTTCTAAATCATTTGAAGATGAAAACGGAGCTGACAGACAAGTGTTTGGTAGAAAATATTCCAAATTATCTCTTCTATTCCTACTTACAGAGACAGCCTCTGCTGTGTTATCTGATCGTGACTCCTTTTGAACACTAGGACTTGGATTTGCTTCACATTTACAAAAGAAGTTATCTTTGCCAGAGTTTGATTTGACTGTTGCTTGTGATGATCTCAAAGCTACAGGTGGTGTACGCAGTGCTCCAGTAGTTCTCTGTGGAGTCACACTTAACCTGCTGTGGTCTGCATGCAATTTATCGATGTCATTACCTACATGATGTTTTGTACTACTGGCATCTGTCTGAGTTACAGCAATCTCACTTTCAATAACTGCCAGAAACTTGTTTAGGCTTTCAGAGAATGGCAGGTCATCCCAAATTTCAGGGTCACAATCCTGGGACCTGCCAGCTATCTCTTCAAGTCTGAGTGATGAAGGTGGACAACACGCAGATCTCTCTCGAAGGCTAGTGGGGATATCTACATCATGATGCTGGTAACATGGTAGCTCACACTGGGAATACCTATTTTTAATTTCCATTGCACTGTAGAAGGATTTTGTATTACTTGACTCAAGGGGCTCTTGAATTTTCAAAGGGAATAAATTAGAGTCAGTAAATCCAATTTCACGATGACTGCTGTGAACTGCACTCAGCTGATTAGCTTGTAAGTCAAGTTCTTCACCCAACTTTTCTGAGGTACTCTTTTTATCCATATATGAAACAAGGCTCCAGGAACCCTGAATGGGATCATGGCAGCTATTGGAAACAGTGGCCTCTGCACTGGAGATATGTGTTCTGTTCTGGTGAAGAATACCAAGGACCTTGCTTTGCTCTGTAGCTGAAAAATCATCATTTTCTGTTAGTTGTGAAACAACGGAAGTAAGTTCAATTGATGGCTGCCAGAATCTTGAAAAATTATCTCTGCTGCAGAACTCAAAAAAATATGAAGTGCTATCAGAGCCCCATATGCTGCTGAGATCACTGTTCGAGTGATCTAAAGCAAGCAAGGGGCTATTAGGTACCTGGGAGCCACAGTGAAGTTTCCTGTAATTGGAAGTCTGCAAAAGCTGATGGAAGTAGTGAATGACAGTAAAGCCTGTAAGACTTGGGTCTGGTAGAATAATCTGGCAAGCAACTAGTGCTTTGATTTCTCTTTTGTGGTCAGCGCATGCATATAAGTAACTGAAATCCGAACCTTTTCCATGTTGGCTTTCAAAATTCTGTGAAAGAAGTGAATAAATTGAGAATAAAGTTTTCTTCCTTTGACTCAAATATGAAACAGGGATTTAAAAAGTTAAAGCAGATATACCCATTAACCCCCATGCCTCCATTCTAATTCCTTTAGTGTTATAGGCAGAGTAGCATACACAAGAGACTATAAACCTCGGAGTAAAAAGCTTATCTTCAAATCCTGGCTCCAGCATTTACTAGTAGTCTTGGGACTTTGGACAGATTATTTAACCTCTCTGAGACTTAGTTTTCTCATTTATAAAATAAGGATAATAATGCAGGATTATTGTTAGCAATAATGTGGAAAACTGCACTGTGCTTAGCAAATAGTAGTTGCTCAATAAAAGGTAGCTATTATTGTATTTCTCATTAGCTTCCATAAACTTTGAGTGTTTAACACATTAACTGCCATGTGAGTTGTATTTAACTCAGGCTAGTTTTGAGCCCAGGGCCTCGTGAAGCAAAGCCCTGCAGTTGGTTTGTGAAATCTCATTGATGTTCTTATTGTTACAATTAATATTGACAATTTACTTCTAAAAACATGGATTGCATTGGATAGAACTCAGGCACAGAAAACAATAAAAAATAACAAATTAGAAAGGATCATTTTGTTTTAATAAAACACTGTGGCCCCAGGAAAAATTTTTTTTTCTAGTGTGGCGGTTAATGTGTTAACAAAATGTTCTCACATGTGAAAGAAAGAAAGAGACTAGGTTTCACCTTCTCTTTGGGTTTTTCTCACTGTTCAGTTGTGGAGTGAGCTACTTCCCTTTTTAAAACAGTAAGACCAATGTGGACAAAATTTCTTTTTGTTCCCTTTAGCATAGATGAGAAAGAAAATTGCTGCTCCTTCAGAGTCAGTACATTCTTTTAACTTCTTCTGTAGTCACTTTTATGATCACGTAAGACTATCCTTCTTAATCTATTCTTAGCATTCTTATCAATACACAGATATTTTGCCTTTAATATTCATTCCTTCCTTCTTCTTTTACAGATAACAGAATTAAAAAGCTAAAAGTTGATGAAAGCTTTATTATAGGATTTGAACAGTATCTGGAAGGTGAAATAACAAATATCAAAATCAAATATCTACCATTTCTGAATTTATAATAAATTTATATTTTTCAAGCTATGAAAGCATTTGAACTGGGCTCTTCTGACTTTTGAAAGGGGAAGTTGTCACACACAGTGTTTTAAACAGATCACCTACAGGCTATTTTTATACAGGTTGAAAGTGCTTCTATATCTTCACATTTTTATAACTCCTAAAAACTATTTAGAAAATTCAAATAATTTCATTATGATGAAAATGTTAACAGACTACTAAAAAGAAAGCTAATCCCAATTACCGTCACTCCAAAAATAAATGTTTGTCCAACAAAGCAAGTTTCAACTGCTTTCCTCAACAAGTTCTGAGCTGTATCATTGTCTGGTGTTTCTGGAATTTTATCAGGATTCTGAAGGTACCTTGATTGGAAAGAACATAAAAGATATTAAGAGATAAACTTTAAAATTTTAACTTGTCATAAAGTCAGAAGATGTAATTAGCTTGAAAATATAGCATGAACTTCTTTCTCTATAGAGAAAAAAAGGGGCTTTTAGACTTAGGCATTTTGTTCCCTCTAGTTTCCTATAGTACAGAGAGATAAAAACCCCAACTGATCAAGTATGAATAAAGTAGATGCCTGCCTAATCATCACAACCAGCAATTATCCTAGGGAAAGAGAAAAGTGGCAGTGGCAGTAGTGGTGGTACCGCTAGCACGTCACCTTAGGGGGAAATCTTTCCTTGTTCCTGGCAGTTCTGGCTGTGGTTCCTTTACTGTCCCTTTCAAATCATTTTGCCCTCAACTACAAGGACATGGATGGAGATTTTTTTTTCTGTCAAGTGATTAGGGGAGGAGGACAGAAGATTGAGGGGGAGAAAACGCTTTAATTGCTTATATATATATCCTTACATTGTCAGGGCAATGTCTTAATAGGTCAAACTATGCAGATGACATTGCAATGCAAGTGAAAAAAATAAAATTGCAGCTTCTGATATGCAAATATTCTCTCAAATGGCTTCTCCTGCCTCAGGGGAACTTAACCACTAGAATGCTAACCTTTGGATATCCCTTCAGTTTGAAATGATTTTACTTTTTTAGTCTATATTTCTCTAACTTAGAGTTTTGTAATTTAATATCCTAATTAAAGCTTAGCTGCCTGAATAAAAGGAGACTGGTTTAACATCATCAAAATATGCATTCAGGAAATAAATATCTTTCTCTTTCTCACTTCGTTATATTTTAAAGGAACTGATGATCCGAGGTTGTATGGTCATTTTTTACTAAATGCATTTCCTTAAAAATATGTATCTTCACATTCTATTTGTATTCTAAACGAGCAGTCAGGAAAAAGAATGCTTTAAATAATCTTACTTGTGCAAATCAGTGGCAGTCAGACCAAAAAATGTATCTAAGCAGCTTCCAAATACAGTAATAACAAACAATTTGTTTGATTCTGCAACTTTTAAGGAAAGTTTGTATCTATAACTGGTATTTTCAGCTTCCCCAGTAGAGCCACATTTTGGACAATTAGACCTGGAAAAGTAGGGGAAAAAAGGGTAGAGATGTTCATTAAATTTTTTTTGTATGATAAAAAAACAAATGCAGAAAAGTAAAAAGTTAAATATTTTGTGTACAAATGCTCCTACAAAACATATTTTTCTTAAACAATTTCAGATTAACTTTTTTAAAATTTCTCTATTCAAAACAGTTGGCTTTACCGATTTAAATTAAGTAGCATCAAATTGATGGAAAACCGAAGAAAAACACTGTGTAAGAATATTGAAATCTTTAATAAATGTTTATATATAAAGCACTTAACTAATTGCATTTCTCTCGCCATTACAAAAAGAACTTTACCTTCTTTAATTTAATTCATTGAAATATGCTGAGAGTTTATCACATTATAAAAATTTAATATGAAAACCAAGCAATTTAACTTGTTTTGAAGATAATACCTCATTGTGGCCAAAGGTTTTCTAGTCAAAAACTACACATCAGTGCAACACTACTGACATATACTTGCTGTTCTATAATTACTAAATTCTTAAAACTTCTTTTTTTTTTTTTTTGAGACAGAGTCTCACTGTGTTGCCCAGGCTAGAGTGCCGTGGTGTCAGCCTAGCTCACAGCAACCTCAAACTCCTGGGCTCAAGTGATCCTCCTGCCTCAGCCTCCCGAGTAGCTGGGACTACAGGCATGCGCCACCATGCCTGGCTATTTTTTCTATATATTTTTAGTTGTCCAATTAATTTCTTTCTATTTTTAGTAGAGACGGGGACTCGCTCTTGCTCAGGGTGGTTTCGAACTCCTGAGCTCAAACAATCCGCCTGCCTCGGCCTCCCAGAGAGCTAGCATTACAGGCGTGAGCCACCGCGCCCGGCCAATTCTTAAAACTTTTGTTCCTTGTCTATAAAATCCAGGGTTAAAGAAGAATAAAATGAGAAAAAATAAATAAAGGGTCTGGTGTAAATATTGGCAAATTAATAAGTGCTAGTTTGTTTCTCTCTCATAATTATATTAAATATTGTGACGATTATTGTCACGTCTACTTAGTGTTTCCCTCCTTTCTAGTTTGTAATGTTTTATAACCCTGATTTCCATCTTTCATGTTCTTAATGTAGCAAATTGACCCCTTAAACATCTTATGGTAATAGGATAATACCAGATCTTTGTTTTTTCTTCACATTGCTAATGATTTGTCTTAAAAAAAACCACTGGCAAAATGCAAATAGAAAGTAATGTTAAAGACAGTAGTATAAATTTGATTGTTGCCAGATAGCCACTAGGGGGAGTCTAAAATACATAGCTCTCAGTGACTTTTTTCAACAAAGGTTAACCCTTCGTATAAGATGTTACTGATTCACCGTCATTATTAGATTTGTGCTACTTATTTTTTTGCCACACTGAGGATGGATCTGTACCAACCTATTCCTATAATATTATCCAGATTTGCTGGAATTTGTGCTATAGTTTGGCCATTGAATAAACTGACTCTCTGAGGCAAAAAACCTCATTAGTACCAAGCTCTAGTGAAATGAGCTAAGTGTTTTAAATATATATATTAGAATTTCTTTATAGGTTATACATTAATAATGCATTCAGGTCTAATGTAAAATTCCTAGCAAATCTTAGAATAAAATATGCATCAGTTTTTTATTATTTACAAATGTTTTCAACATAATTCTTTTATTCTGAGAAGTTAACAAGGTATTTACCCCATTTATAAATAGGGAAATTGGTTTGAATTTTTGCCCAAGGTGACAAAGTTAGTGAATTTATGACCCAAATGCAGGACTCTGGACTCCTAGCCTGAAGTTCTTGCTTGTATGATATCTCATGATAACTATGAGAACAATATGGTTGGTTAATAATGAACTACCTTACAAATATTAATAGAGTATCTATGATAGCCTAACAAAAACTATGCCTATTAGTGTTAATGCATTTATACAGATTATATATAGTTTCATAACATGCATATGTATAGTATATTTATTTACATAGTTTCCTTTAGTCCTTTTGGCAATACAGCTGGATTGAAATAAATGTTAGTACAGTATAATACATAGATTAGAGCTCCTCAAACTTTAATGTACATACAAGTCACCTGGGAGTCTTGTTAAAATGAAAATTGTTATTAAGTCTGGGTCAAGGCCCAAGATTCTGCAGTTCTAATAAACTTCCATGTGATGCTGATGCAGATGTTGTTTAGGCCACAATTTGAGAAGCAAGGGTATAGACAACACATTCAAATCACAGTCCCTTGGTTTAACTTCCAGAGGCACCGCTATTTCTAAAATGTCACTTGTTGTGGAAGAGCAATTTTGAAACTTTTTGGTCTCAGGATCCTTCATACTC